CTTTCGGCAACTGTCGTAAGTGATATTTTATCAGTTTCGGGCGTGCAGCTAGGCATTCATACAGTGTACGAAGCGACCCCCCGCCTGGCGCCCACCTGGCGCTACACGCAGCCGTCACTAGACTTCCGACCGTGGTCCCTGCGCTGTGCCCTGCGTCCCCAGGACTACTCTGTAACGACCGATTTGTGCTTCTTCGTCCCATCACCTTTGCCCCCAGCCCCTGAGTTTCGCTCCTCTGGCAGTCACCAGATTGTCCTCTGTGCCTGTGAGTCTGTTTGCATTTACTTTGTTCCTTAGATTCTGCATATACGTGAAATCACATGGTATTTATTGTTGTCTAACGCATTTCATACCCTCTAGGTCCATCCATGTCGTCGCAAATGGTAGGATTTTATTTTCTGTATGGCTGAGTAATATCCATTGTATGTATGTACCATAACTTTACCCGAGTTAAGTGGTGGCCACTTAATTTGCTTCCATATCTTGGCTACCGGGTTTAAGATTCCACCAAAACACAGTTACGACTAATAGATGAATTCAGTGAAGTAGCAGGATACAAACTTAATATTCAGGAGTTACTGCATTTTTATATGCCAGCGATGAACTATCAGAAAGAGAAATTAACAATCCCATTTACAATTGCATCGAAGAGAATAAAATACCTAAGAATAAAATTGACCAAGGACGTAAAAGACCCAGGAAACTCTAAGACACTGAAGGAAGAAACTGAAGAAAATACAAATAAATGGAAGCGTATACTGTGCTCATGGGTAGGAAGAATCAACGTCATTAAAGGGTCCACACAGCCCAAAGCAATCTGCTAAATCTACACCATCCCTATCAAAATACCAATGGCATTTTTCACAGAACAAATAATCCTAAAATTTATGTGAAGTCACAAAGACCCCAAATAGCCACAGCAATACCGAGAAAGAACAAAGTGGGAGGTATCACGTTGCTGATATCAAACTGTACAGCTCGGCTACAGTCATCAAAACAGCATGGTACAGACACGAGAACAGACACATAGATCAGTGGAACAGAACAGGGAGCCCAGAAATAAACCCGCGCTTATAAGGGCATTTCATCTGCGACAAAGGCAAGAATAACGATGGGGTGAAGACAGTCTCTTCGATGAATGGCGTTGAGAAAACTGGACAGTTTTCTTAAATGTGAGACCCAAAACCATAAAACTTCTAGAAGAAAAAACGTAGGCAGTGAGCTCCCTGACGCTGCTCTTAGTAATTTTTTTCGCTATATCCCCTCGGGCGAGGGAAACCAAAGAAGAATCAGCAGCCGGGGCTGCACCAGCTGAAGAGTCTGCACGGCGACGCTTCTCCCCGTGGGGACGCGATCTGGCCGGCACGGGCGCGTCGCCGGATCTGCCGTGGTGCTTAAATCGGTCTGCACTCTCGGCTCACTTTTTTCTTTAATTTTCTGCCTCCGTTAATGTTAAAAGATGTTTAAGTTTTCTATCGAGGGACAACCCATATTTCTATCACCCCCAAATCGCTAAACCTCGCCAAAGGAGTCACATGTCCCCCTTAGATCTGCTTAGACAAACGGGGAGCATCATTATCTTACATTTCAATCTCTGTTCCAGGTCGTCGCAGTCGCCATCTAATTGCCATTGTTTCTGTAAGTCGCCCAGCCGTGAATTCACCACGGATTTAGTCTGGCCTAGAGAAAATGCCCTTAGACTTATCTTCTCACAGACGTTACATTTAGAATATACTGTCATCAGACAATTGTGAAATCTTTTCTGCAAAAAATAACCTGCTATGTTCGCTGGGCACGCTCGGCCCGTGGGCTCACAACATATATATATATATATATTTTTTTTTTAAGCCTACAGCACCTGGTCTTCCTAGGTGGTCTCCCATCCAAGTACTAACCAGGCCCGACCCTGCTTAGCTTCCGAGATCGGACGGGATCGGGCGCGTTCAGGGTGGCGTGGCCGTGGACTTCACTCCATATTTGATATGCAAATCTGAGCAACATGCCCCTGACTGCATACGCACGAAGCACACTGGCATCCAGATGACAAGTTCACACACACACGAGTCTCATCTCAAGAAGCCCTAAAACTTATGGGGTGGTCGATGCGGAACGGAAGGGTATCGGTAGCTATTAGTCCTCTTGCGGGGACAGCAGTGGCCGAGCCACACGGCTCAGTCTGCGCACTTCTGAAACATTACGTAAACAACGTTCTAGCTTAGAATTATTTGTATCCTCTGTGATTGATCCACTACTTCAACCTGGGGTCATAACGCATCGCCAGCAGTAAGGACAAAAACACAGAAAAACCCGTATACCAAATAAAAACCTGCTGAAATCGTCTGGACAGAAACACACACAATACCAGAATCTTAAAAACTCCTACTATAGAGGACATCCTGATTAATTTTTTTACATTAATGTTTTTTTTTTACCCCCAGTGTAATCAGTTTTACCCTCTCATGGTCACCACTGAATTATCAGAATATAAATTATTATAAATAAAAACTGGAACCTCTATGATTTATCCAGATAATGACTTTTCCAACACATCTGAATCTTCGTATACAAATTTTGCTCTGCAGTTAATAACAAGACTTAAGTTATTGAAAATGAAAGGTTGCCCCATTAATGCTGCCAGTGCTAAATGCTACTGTGATGTTTGACTTACGAAACATATATTTAAAAGAGGACACTTTGACCTATCCTGAAGACATCGGTCGCTAGGCCCCAAGTAACACATTAGCTACTGAACAGTATTCCTAGGAAACATATTAGCTAATATGTGGACTAATCTGATGGGGATAATGTAAACTTTCTAATGAAACGTTATGTGCAGCAAAGTACATGCACTAAAAACTTACAGCCCCATAAATTTGCGCTGTCCAAACGCAGCAGCGAATTCACACACAGACGGGTAGACAGGATCCTAAGCGTTCGGACAACCGCCCATGCACGTGTCACTTCCGCGATTATCTCCCACAGGACCTTCCGTGACTAACGCACATTCGAGTCACAGATGAGTAAGTGTGCACCAGACACAGACGCGGTTTCAAAATGGAAGGAACTGGCGTGTACGGAACACCGTTCACCACGATATAACTACATGCTAACGTCACTGTGAGTGCAAATGGGACATCCTGGGCCGTTACCGAAACGAAATTGTTCCACAGTAATAAAATCCATTTTATGTTTTCTCGTACTATGGAGTTAAGTTAGAAATCAGTAATAAAAATCAATAGGAAAAGCCCAACTGCTTGGAAATTAAGCAATGTCCCCCTAAATAATCCATAATTCAAAAATATCTCGAAGCAGAAAACATACGAGTAATAGAAATGCGAAATGCCGACTCGCGCTAACACACTGAGAAGTGCTTACAGGGAACTCTAGAGTCAAAAAACCAATCCATTAGAATGCAGAAGGCCCCAGATCAGGAACCGATTTTATGAGAAGCTAAAGACAAACAAATATTAATGAGGCTAAAAGCAGAAATCAGAAAAATAGAAAGCAGACATACTTACAAGCTGAAAAATAAAAATTAGTAACATGAAATAACAGTATGTCTGAAACCTTATTAGCCACATTAATCACGAGCGAGATGTAACACAAAATATTAATAGCTAAAGGACATACAAAATAAGAGCATATTACTAACCGACTTACAGTTTTTGAGGTTTCGAATCAAATTTTCATCCAACTAGTGAGAATCTTGGGCAAACGATGCAGTCAGAAAGGGAACAAAATGATGTCATTCCATTTTTACAAACTTAAAGAAGTCAGGTAAAAGCGAAGTGCGTTTCAGAAGGAGCGGCGTGGGGAGTGGGGCTGGAGGGACACAGTGGGGTTGAGCTCCGCTGGGCGCGTCACGCCACTGCAGAGTCACACGAGACGCATATGATGCGCCAATGTGCTCGCATGCTCGGGACTGACGGCAGCCCTGCCCCCGAGCCTGGTGGCGAACGCGCGACTGGTTCGTGGGAATGTGCCACACTGCTTCACGCCGCTCCCGCTCCCCTAAGGCTCCTTAATGGTTGAGGATCTAGAGTTTACTTCTATACTTGGCAGAGCGAATTTTCTCTCTGGTCTACGACTAATTTTTTTCGCTGTTACTCGGGTCTTTAGAATTACCTTCTACAGTTCTAGAGAATCAATATAAATGCACTATAGAGAATAAGTGAATACTAAAATAGGTACTATTTCGTAGAATTTATGACAGACCTTTGCCAAGGAAAGACATTTGCCTCTCCTGGGACGTTAATCATTAGGCCCCAGGTCACAGAACCGCCAACGCACGCGCCGAGAAATGCACGACCGCCCTTAGGGACGCGGATGTTGCGTTTCAGTAAGAAACGGTGATGCCGCGTGTGATGTTTCCATCTCTCTCCATTGACACCCCGAACATAACATTCCTTTCTTTTTAGCCCAACACAATATTGAAATGTGAACTGTTTTGCGTTTCAAAAGAAACACTGCAACTTTTTCATATAAAAACTTCATGGTTTCAGAGAGATCTCATGAAATGTTACATACGGCTTCCCATGTCATGAGAACGAGAAAAGGCTAATCTGTGTCACTCTTCAAAGATTCCAAGAGAAACGGACGCACGACACAGTGTGGCCACACAGACCTTACGGGTCGCGGGGCGGCTCTGCTGAAACCCCAGGAACCGGACGGATGTGGACGATCTGATAACATCGTGGCGAACTCAGTGTTCACCGCAACGACGTCTGATCCAATAGGAACTTGCCAGAGAATTCTCTCAATCTCTCTCAATATTTCTCCATCAAAGCAAAAAAGAGCCGGAATGAAAGGGGAAAGGGCCAGGATGCGGTGGCGGAGGGGACCGTGGCAGGGTCTCAGCAAGGAGAAGGGCGCACTGTGAAAATGCGTCCCAGTGAGGCCCTAGCAAGGTGTCACAGAAGCGACGACGTGCATTTCAAAGGCTCCCGGCTCCTCGCCGGCTCCGAAGGGAGAGGCGGGTTCCCTGTGAGGGCCGCTCGTCTGGACCGCAGACTGGCATTGGGAACGAGTCCCTCGGCATCCTCGGACAAGCGTGCTCGTCACTGATGCAGACGGGCCCTCCGGCAGGGACGCGTCCCCACGGCCAGGCTCCCCCGGGCGGCCACCGGCGAGGGACAGCCGGGCCCGTTCTCTCTAGAACCTTGGCGATGGGACTCAAGCATACGCAGGTGTTCCTACACAGACCCGACTTCACATGTGGCCTCGAATCGCGCTAACAGAGCCAGATGAGCTCCGCGGGGGAATCAACCCTGGGTCACCTGGCACCATAAAGGGGAAACGAGGTGGCGAATGTGTGACTGCAGTGCCAGCGTCCGCAGCCACGCGCCTTTCTCCCCCGCGAGCACCTCGGTCCCGCTCGGTCCCTGCAGCAAAACACAAAGGACACAAGTCAGACCCGAAAACGCACGGAATTCATGAAAGTTAAAGCATGGCGTCGGCTCCATCTTAGCGGTCACCTGGGTGGCCGCGTGACCCGTCGTCACCTGCGCCATCTCATCTGTTCACCTACTGCTAAGTCACTCGCTTTGCAGGGCCAGCTGTCCTGTCTGCCAGCCACGCAAATAAGAGGCAGCAGCTGCCCCCTGACCGCCACCCCCAGAGCCATCTCCCACCCACGAACGCAATGAGCACGAACCCACGGGGACGCGGGAGGCCGAGCGGGGCCGTCCCGCGAGCCGGTTCCCAGGGTTCTCTTCCTTTCTGGAAGGCCACTCGGCTGGGCCTCAGCGACCACAGAGCCTCAACGTCGCCCCGACTCAGACCGGACGCCGCCACAGGCTGTCACCACTGCCCCGCCACCATGCAACGCGCTGACGCCCTGAGCGTCCACGCTCGGCCTACGGTGGACGCGGCACAGCGGGCCCTTCCCTGACTGCGATAAAACTGGTCACGACGGTGACTCCGGCAGCCTCACGGGGGCCGTCGGGAGCGACAGCCGCGGGGGTACTGCGGGGGTCCGATCTCGGGGCGGGTGCATTTACTCTGTGTGATAGAGACAGAGAATCAGGAGGTGACAGTGAACTTGGTTATTTCGCTTAAAGGATTACTAAAGGGTGTCACGAGCTGTATGACGCTGCTGACTGGCGTCTGGTCCTCGGCCAGGGGACACGTGCTCACACCGCAGATGCAGGCCGTGAGCCCACACCGGCCCGTCGGACCCGACAAGGAGCGACTCTGCCTCGACACAGAGCACGCGAGCCGGCTCTCTCTCGTGGATTCTCGCTTTCGGTCGGCAGCCCGCCAATGCTCCCGAATATCCAGATTTTTTTCAGGGAAACTGTTCCTTATGACTGACGTGCAAAACACATTCCTTTCAGAAGTCTTGTAAAAGAGCCTGATAGAGTGCTTCGGTCATTTCTGCAATCTGGCTGACGGCGCCAAATCTGAGTCCTGTTTCATGCACCATTATTTGCAAGAGCAAAAATGGTAACAGACTAATCGAAAATAAGAAAATAAGAAACAGGTATATCTGATTCATACACGTAAAACATTAACTACTTGATCCATCAAAGGAATGAATAATCAACAGTTATTATTGGCTAAAGATTCAAAATACATTAAGAAAGTTATTAAATTTCAAATAAAAGTTTCTCAAGATATGAAAATCTACGGAGAATCAAGTGAATATCTATAAGATGTAACTACAACGCAGAGAACACAGGTGTGCTCGTGGGGACAGGCACAGGGCACAGCGTCGAGGGACTCTTCCGTTCCAGACCAACTATGCTTACAGTGAAAATGGAGTAATTCCTTCTCCCTGGTGACCGCTGTCTCGAAACGAAACGAAATGAAAGCACAGTGCAAATACGTGTCCCCCTCCTTCTCCTCACAATGTCTGACGTTCAAAAGATAAGATGAAGCAGGGAAACGCAATCCGTAACCCTTGAAACTGGCAGGTGTGTACGACCGATGTTTTAGAAGCTGAAAAAGTTCAAAAATCTATTCTAAAGAATGCACGGGAAACGATGGCAAGAATGTCCTAACACATGGTAGATTCCGCATGATAAATGGGAATTGTGAATACAAACCAAATTCTAGAGATGAAAACCACAATATTTTTAATCAAAGATATTAGATGGAGCAAAATGGCGGGGCGAAAACCCCTGGCTCATGCCCCGCCCCGGGCAAACAATGGTCTGGCAGCTCTTCGGGACGGGAGCCTGGGGAGCCTGGGGACCCTGGCAGGACGCCGAAGCTCAGTGGAGCGCTGGACTGAGCACTGGCCGAGGCGGCCGTCGGCAGCCCCGCCTGTGTGCACACCTGCGACCTGCCCACCCGCCTGTGTCCCCGGAAGCCGCTGCCAACCTCAGACGTGACCGTGGACCCTGAGGCCGCCCTGCAACCCAGCCCGATCCCTGCCCACCCAGAGACGTGGCAGAAAACACGCACGACCTTGCTGCTGGTGACAGCTGCACCGGCCTTCGTCCCGCCTGTGGACTCTGACGGAGCATGAGACCCACGTACGCCCAGCTTCGCTGTGGACCAGTCACCCCGGCTGCCCTGTGACCCCGCTGGTGTCGCCGGTAGCAAGCCTACTGACTTCAATCTTGACCGTGGACCCTGAAGTGGCCTTGAGCCTCACTTCCAGCCCCACTCGGGGCATCTGCAGGAAACAGCCGCCACCTGCCGACGTCGCTGTGGACAAAGAAACGGGCCCGGCGCTGACTCCAGCCTGCTGTGACGACAGCCCCCTTTACCTGGTGGCCCAGCAGGAACCGCGCCCGCCTGTCACGGACCAACCGTGGTCTTGGCAGCAGCCACGTGACCCAGCCCCAGCCCTGCTCAACTGTCACCCCGGTGGCCGCTCCCTGAGGCTGGGGCCCGTGGGAAAAAGTCTTTACCTGCTGAGACCCGTCTGTGAGGACAGGAAGAGCTGTGTGTTCCTCAGAGGCAGACATCGGGGCAAAGGTACACGGGTCACAAAGAATCAGGCGCGTCGCCAGCCACCAACCTCAAAAAATGAGATTTATGATGATCTGAGAAGGGACTCAAAGTCATTGAGTAACTCAGTGAGTCACAGGAGAAGATAGACGACTTGATGACATCAGAAAAAATAATTCCTGAAAACGGCGAAACGTGGAACAGAGACATTATGAAACATCGAGCAAATTCTGGAGTTGAAGAATACGAGGAATGGAATTTTAAAAATCAACAGGGAGCTAAACAACACCACGATCCACAGAACTCAGAGTCGGCGAACCTAATTAGGGACAAGTAACTGGAAATTATCCAGTCAGAAAAGAAACAATAACAGAGCGGAAAGAAGTCTGTGGAATTTATGGGGGGCTGTTTCGGACAGTTCGGGCTGCTATGAGGAAAATACCTGAGATCGGTTAGCTTAGAAACAGCAGAAATTAATTTTTCGCAGTTCGGGGTTGTAGACGGTCCACGACCGTGACACCAGCGGATGTGAGGCCCGGTTCCATTTCTATTCCTAGAGGGAGGAGCACGAAAGAAGACAGAAATTATCCGACTGGTATCGACTTGAAATAGACGGTTAAAAATGGTCACAGCCTCGTGGTGACCACAGAGCAGAACCTACAGTAGATACGCAAAAGATAATGGGGAAGGGGTCTGAGGTTACCACTCAGTCAAGTCATCCGGCTACGAAGAGCAGGAGAAGCACAAAGGAACGCAGGACGTACGAGACGGAACAGTGGACAGAGGGCCAGCAAGCGCGCCCCTGGGGACAGTCCCCTCACACGTAAAGGGACTAAAAGACACGGGGCGAAGACACGTGACAGACAGGAAAGGGAGGAGACACATCCCATGCTCCTGGGAGCCGAGACGAAGCCGAGGCAGCCGTGCTCGACCCGGACAAAGCAGACTTCGGGACGAACGAGACCGAAAAGGGCGTTACACGACGATGAAGCGGCCGCTCAGCAAGGGCACGTGCCATTAGTAAATATGCGCTCAGCACAGGGCCAACTAAATACGTGGAGCGAATCCTACAAGGCCTAAAGAGAGAAACAGGTAGCGATGCAATGACGGCAGGGCCTTTAACGCTCCACTTACGTCGATGTATAGTCCATCCAGACGTGAAACCAACTGCCCTTAAATGACACGTCAGAGCAGATGGAGGATGACACGTTAGAACAGATTTCTTGCGGGGCAGCCGTCCAAACGGAGATGGCCTTCTGAGGACATTGTCTGGGTAGAGAGATTGTGGGATGGCTGTCAACAGCCGGATCTGGCACGCACGGGACAGTGGCTAATGCATGCTACCCTGTCGTGCATCATACGATCATTTAGTAAACGAGCAAACATCGTGATGTTACCGCTTTTCTCACGGACTTGGGGCTCACCCACGGTCTGTAAGCTATTCTGCAGAAATGCCCCTTAAAAGAGGTGGTGTGCCTTTTAATCACCAAGCAAAAGGAGGACATGTGTCTTTAAACTTTGTATAAACGCTCAGCTAGCGTGAGCGAACGCGAGAGCATGTCATCGCTCCCTCGTTCTGAGCAGTCAAGGGGCCATGGCACGAGCCTCACCGACGTGCGTAGAATCGTGCTCATTACGCTCTCGAAACTCTGAGACTGGAAAGCAGGTATCAGGGTCAATAAACCATGGCACTACGTTGCGAGTCATCACTGTCTCACAAACTTTACAAAAACAGAAGCAAAACCTCAATCATCAGTGTGAATACATCTACTCGTGCACATAGGCCAGAGAAAACCGTGCTGTGGGTTGGGGACCCAGCTCAGAAATCGTCTCGCGTTGTTTCAGTAACATGCCAGCAAAGCGGTGTTTGCCTCAAGCCTGCCACTCGTTCATTGAGAAAAAGAAGTCACGACGCTTACGTGGTGACACTAGCCAATGAAAAGTGCAAATCTGGGGGCGCCGGCATCAGGAACCGCATATGCCATGTGTGTGAAGTGACGGGTTCACGTCGGGAGCCAGGGGTCTGAGGTGTGTCTCCTCGTGACCACTCTCCGTTTTCAGTCTCAAGTTTCAGTCCTATAGTGACAACTGTTGAATTGCACATCTCCTCTTCGATGGCAAGTTTTCAGATATCAAAACTTCGGTGCCCCCACCTTAGAGCGACACTG